ACACACAACACACACAAGTCCTCTCCTCAGCAGCCAGAAACAACAGCAGCACAGACAGAAGAAGAGCTGCAGGATAAAGAAAACAACAAACAGCAAACAAACAAAAACAAAAATATTCATAAACAAGAAACAAAATATAAAACAATGACGCGGGCTCTACCCCCCCCATCCACATACTCCAGGGAACGCCTCGCTGCAGCTGCTGCCAACGCACAGCACCTCTCACAGCAGCAGCAGCAGCAACAGCAGCAGCAGCAGCAGGAGCAGCAGCAGCAACAGCAGCAGCAACAGGAGCAGCAGCAGCAGCAGCAACAGCAGCAGCAACGGATCCCCCAGAAGCTCGGGTACACCTCAGTTGAACCCACGCGCGCAGCCCCCAGCATGCCTGCAGCAAAGCAGCAAGCAGCAGCAGCAGCTGCTGCTGCTGCAGCTCCTGCTGCTGCAGGTAAACCAAAAGCAGCAGCAAACACTGAATGTGAAGCAGCAGCAGCAGCAGCAACTGCTGAAGCTGATGTGGCTGCAGCAACCCCTGTAACTGAGACAGCCCCCCCCGTTCAACCCCGCCCAGCAGCAGCAGCAGCAGCATCACCAGCAGCAGTAGCAACAGAAACAGCTGCAGCAGCCACAGGAGCAGCAGCAGTAGCAAGAGAAGCAGCAGCAGCAGCACCAGAAGCAGCAGCAGCAGCAGCAAAAAAAACAACACGATTTGAAGAAGAGACAGAAGAAAGAGAGTCAAATGAAAAAAGAAAAAAAAAACAACAGAGAGGGAGGCCACCCAAAAAGGCGAAGCAGCAGCTATCCGCACCACAGCAGCACCAGCAGCAGCAGCAGCAGCAGCAAGATGCTGCTCTGCTGCTGCAGGAGCCGCCGCCGCCGCCGCAGCAGCAGCAGCAGCAAGATGCTACAGTGCTGCTGCAGGATGCACAGGAGAAGCAGCAGCAAGATGCTGCACTGCTGCTGCTGTTGCTGCTGCAGAAGACACTTCAGCTGCAGCAGCACACACAACTGCAGCAACTGCAGCAGCAGCAGCAGCAGGAAGATGCTGCTTTGCTGCTGCGGATGCCGCAGCAACTGCTGCAGCAAACGTTGCTGCTGCTGCAGGAGCAGCAGCAGCAGGTCATGCAGGCGTTGGTTGTATCTGTGCTTGTATATATTCTAAACAGTGTTGAATG